GTCACTCACTCACGCTCAGACCCACTCATACTCAGACTCATTCACATTACGACGCACTCACACACAGACCCACTCTCACTCTGACTCGCTCGCACTCAGACTCGCAGAGTGTGAGGATTTCTCCTGCGAGGCGCTGGTTCCAGTACTTGAAGGGGGGCCGACAAGGTTGCTTGCACGGCCCCGTTGGCGCCTAGTTTGTGGGGATGTCCAAAGCGGCTGGCCGGTTGTTGGCCCTCCCAGACTCCTCTGATCTCAGAACGGATTGTGAGGAGATCTAGAGTGAGGCTGTGGTGTCAGCACTCCCAAGGGGGAGCCGCAAGGATTTGTTCACGGGCCCTTTCGCGCCCAGACTGTGGGATGTCTCGAGCGGTTTGTGTGATTGGGTGCCCAACACCTGCGCTGTCAGAACAGACTGTGAAGATATCTCGGGCGATGCGCCAGCTTCAGCACCCCAAGGGGGAGCCACCAAGGTGTTTTCAAGGGCGAACGCCCAGATTGTGGGGATGTCTCGGGCGGCTTGCCTGTTTGAGTGTCCAACATCATGGCCGTCAAGAGCAGAGCGTGACACTGTCCAGGGCGAGGCGCTGGTTTCAGTACTTCTAATTGGGGGCCGCCAGGATGTTTTCACCACCTCGTTCTCGCCCAGATTGTGGTGATGTCTCAAGCGGTTTGCTGGTTTGGGTGCCCCGACTCGCCTGCCTTCAGCGCAGACTGTGAGGATGCCTCGAGCGAGGCCTTGGCTTCAGCGCCCTGGGGGGGGGAGGTCAGGAGGTGTTTTCACGGGCCCGTTCCCGCCCAGATTGCCTCGAGCGAGGCGCTGGTTTCAGCACTCCCCCGTTCGCGGCCAGATTTCGGGAATGTCTCGGGCGGTTTGCCTGCTCGGATGGCCTGTTCCGAACCTCGACAGGGAAACCGCCAGAGGTGCTTGCCCGGAGGAGTGCGGATGAGGAGGAGGGAGGAGGGAGGAAATCGGAGGAGGATGGGGATTGAGGAGGAGGAAGAACGAGGGACGGGGAGAAGGGAGAAGGAGGAGGAGGAGGAGGAGGAAGAGGAGGAGGAGGAGGAAGAGGAGGAGGAGGATGAACGAGGGACGGGGAGAAGGGAGAAGGAGGAGGCTCGGCAAAAGTTGCGCGTCCACCACCCCCGGCCTCAGAGCGACCACTGCGAGGACTGGCACAGGCGGATACGGCCAGCCAAGAATCCCGACCAAACACTGGCAGCGAGACATGCCAGCAAAATGAACTGCACGTAAGGGGAGTAACATTCCAGTTAGAGACCTAAGAATTGACTGGCACGCGGCATAACCCACTCCACGTGATAAAAATCTGAATGAATCTCTCACAGTCCTCAACAAAAACCGACCCCAGGTCGTCACATTGTCCGCCTGGGCCGGGTGGGCCTCCGCGTCGAGAAATTTCACTTCCCCTCCCGTGAGCTACGTCAACGTGTCAGCTTGTTTCCACTGCACTTCACGCTGCCAACGTTGCGGCCAAGACGCGGACGCCAAGCGTGCCGGCTCGCAGGCAGCGTTGCCGGCAGGAAGCTCAATCTGACCGTGCTTGCTCACATGCTGGAGCTCGTCCCTCTGCCAAGGATGTTGCCAGGAAACTCACTCCAAGCGTGCCGGCACGCGTGCGGCGATCCTGCCGCTGCCATCGCTGCTGCCAGGAAATTCAGTCCGAGCGCGCCAGCTGGCTTCTGGCGCGCCTCTCTCTGCCTGAAAGATTAGCCGGGGTTGGCCGGGCCACAGGCGAGCATTGTTCTTCCATACGTATTTATTTCTGTAACATGTGGTAGTGTAATCGTGGAAAGCTTGTTGATGTTTGCGAACGTTTTCTTATTCGGCGTTTCGACATTGGGCGGAGGGGGGGAGGGAAGGGGTGTCTGCCTCCGGACCTCTGCTTAATGCGACTGTTTGCAATAGTGCGTCCCTTGATGGAGACTCCACCTGCCTGAAACAGGCGCCAAAAACAATCAAGATCTACTCCAGGGGGTGGGATGGGGGGGAGAAGGGGGTGTGGGAGGGCGGGGGAGGGGGGGGGGGGGAAGGGGGGGCGCGAGGGCCCGCGCCGATCAGCAAAACAAGGAATAAGAAAACTATCACTTGCTGATGTTTGGAACCCGTGAGGCTTTGACTCCACCGCAGTGTTTGCACTCAGGGGCTCTTGCTGATGTCACTTCAGGTGCGTCCTTGGGTGTGTTCGAGGGTTCTCGGGCATGTGCCCAGCTGCTGGCGACAGCGGGCGCCTCGTGGGCGCCTCGTGCTGCGTGGGTGGGGGGAGGCTTTGCCTCGTACCCGCCCGTGGGCACCTCGTGCGCTGTGTGTGCGTGTGCGTGTGCGTGTGCGCGGGCGTGCGTGCGTGCGTGCGTGCGCGCGCGCGCGTGCGTGCGTGCGTGCGTGCGCGCGTGCGTGCGTGCGTGCGTGCGTGCGTGCGTGCGTGCGTGAGTGAGCGTGTGTGCGTGCGTGCGTGCGTGCGTGCGTGCGTGCGTGCGTGGGAGCGCGTGTGAATGCCGAGAGCTTGCTTCGAGCATACACCCGTAGGGGCACCGTGCTTTGGGCTGCTGTGCGCAGGCATCGCCCGTGGGGCGCCTCGTGGGGCCCGCCCGTGGGCGGCCTGTGGGCGCTCCGTGCGCTCGGGAGGCCGCTGCTGGCACTCGTCAGCCTCTCCTCTCCTCTCCTCTCCTCTCCTCCTCCTCCTCCTCCTCCTCCTCCTCCTCCTCCTCCTCCTCCTCCTCCTCCTCCTCCTCCTCCTCCTCCTCCTGCTCCTCCTCCTCCCTCCTCCTGCTCCTCCTCCTCCTCCTCCTCCTCCTCCTCCTCCTCCTCCTCGTCCTCCTCCTCCCTCCCAGCCAGCACTCGGGCCCACAAGGGGCCCACGCGGCGGCTAGGCTGCTATTTACAGTGAGTGGGAGCCAGGATGAGGGTGATGGTGCAGGGCATATCTCCTCCTCCACAGGGGCCCGAGTCCCGTGGAGGCTCCAAAGAGCCCGTCTCGTCCTTCTCTCCTGGGTGCCGGAGCGCCGAAGCAAGCCCCGAATCCGGTTTCGGCCCGGACCCGTTTCGGCTTCATCCGCTCGTTTCGGCTTCGGCGCGTTTCGTCCCAGCCCATTTCGTCCGGGCCCGTTTCGGCTTCGGCGCGCTTCGTGCGGATCCGTTTCGGCTCCAGGCTGCTTCGTCCCGTTTGAGCTCCGATCCGTTTCGTCCTGGCCCGTTGCGGCTCCGATCCGTTTCGTCCCTGCCCGTTTCGGCTGCGGCCCGTTTCGGCTTCGGCCCGTTGCGACTTTCAGGTTCGCGATCGCACCCCGGCCGGGAAGCCGAAACGAACCGAAGCCGAACTCGGCTGAAGCCGAAACGGGGGCGGAGCCGAAAAGGGCCGAAGCCGAAACGCGCCGAAGCCGAACCGAGCGGGGCCGAAACGAGCCGAGCTGAAACGCGCCGACGACGGAACGGGCTGGCCGAAAAGGGCCGAAGCCGAAACGGGCCTGAAGCCGAAACAAGCGTGAAGCCGAATCGGGCCCTTGTGCTAGCTCCCAGGAGCGCGCGTCTGTGGGCCCAAACCTCCGACGGTCTCCTGGGGCCCTCCCGGGAGCGGCGAGTGGGCCCGTCCAACTTCGGGGATCTTCTGACCCGGGTCAATCCAGACCCGGGTCAGCAAGAAACCAAAAACTGCAATGCAGGAACAACAAAAACTGCAACGCAGATCTTCGCAAACCCGGGTCAGCCAATATGCGCGGCCGCCTCGCGGCCACGAGCGGCTCGCTAACCCGGGTCAGCCCAGAGGGGGTCTTCGCAGGATCCTGCAGGATCTGGCGCCCTGGCTGACCCCCGTCTGCATTGACCCCCGTCTCGAGGCTCCCGTCCAACGCAGTCCTTGGGCCCCTCTGGGCCGTGCGCCCGAGGGTCAGAATCATGTGAGGAAACGCGGCCCTGTTTCCTCACACAGTTCGGGCGCCGTGGGGTGCCCCATGGAGGCCTCCCGGGTGCCACCTGGAGGCATTTCCACGTCCCTCTCTCGGGGCGGTCCAGGGGTCTGTGGGGCCGTTTTTGGCCGTCTAGGGGCTCTCACTGCAGCCGCGTCGGGATCCTCTTCGGAGGCATCTTGGCCCGGCCTGGGGCGATCTTGGAGCTGTTGGGCCGTCGTGGGCGCTGCAAGGGCCCAAAAGTAGGTATGGTCGAAATATTACAAATCTTGCACGCAACAACCTATTTTTTGAACCGGAAGGCCCTACTGGGCGTACTCATGGAGCGCTGCTCTGGGAACCTTTAGGCGGGTATTGCGGCCGTCTGGAGGCCGTTTTAGGGTGTCTTGGGCGCTCTGAGGCCGCCTGGACGCCCAACCATGGCCTCGAGACCCCCGAAAGAGCGCCAAGAGAGGCCCGAGAGAGCCCCGAGAAGGCCCAGAGCGTCCTGGGCCTGGAACCACCACTTCTGCTGTCAAGACGGCGGCCCTCGTCCTTGACAGCAGGGCGAGTCCTCCGGGGCCCTCTCGGGGGCCTCTTGGAGCCGGTTGGTTGGCCACCTTGGGAAATCTTGGGCGCCTCCCGGGTCGTCTTGGGGCGCTCTTGGGCCGTCTGGGGCCCTCTGGGGCCGTCTTGGGATTATCTTCGGATGCTTTGTGGCCCAGCTTGGGGCGATCTTGAAAACTGTAGGGCCATCGTGCACGCGGCAAGAGCTCCCAAGTCGCTTATTGCAGAGAAAAAATCACAAGCCATGGGGGGGAAACCATTTATTCTGGCACCGGGAAGCCTTGCTGGGGGTGCTCTTGGAGCGCTCTGAAAACCTTTTGGGGCCCCCTGGAGCCGTCTGAATGCCATCTTGGACTGCCTTGAGGCCGTCCTCGGCCGTGCCGAAAGCATCTCCTTCGAACTTGAAGGCCTCTTGGGCTCGCCTGGGCCGTCTGGGAGGCGCAGGCCCTCCCGGCGCTACCCCCGACAGGCCCCCCCGGGCACTGCCGCCCGATCACGGCGCCACTCGCTGCTCCTGGCAGTGCAGGATAGGTGGCATTGGGCTCCAAACGAGACTCCCGCATCTCGCTGAGCATCGCCAGTGCGGTCCGCCACTGCTTCCCTCTCTCGCAGGCGCTGATCCCAACGCTGTAGCTGACGAGGGCTCGCCCGTGGACTTACATCCACGACAGCTTACTCGACGGCAAGGGTGATGGTCACTTGCCTGGTTGCTTCCTTGCGCGCTGACATGCGCACATGGCTGCTACCCTGTTGGCTTGAGACCTGTCTGCCAGACGCTCCTGCCTGCATGCTGGTAGGCGTGCCTGATATCATGATTCCCTGATTGCTTGTTTGGTTGCTTCATGGTTCGCTCGCCCGTTCGCCGCCGTTCACGGCCGCTTGCTGCTGCTTGGCCATGATTGGAATCGGTTGCCGATTTTCAGAGCTTCTGCTGAAACAGACCACTGTTTGGTGCGGGCTGCTGCTTACTACTTAGTTGTGGTTATCTGACTGCGTGCTGTCGTTGCGTACTGCTTCGGGCCGATGTTGCCTGCAGTTCGAGACTGACGCGGGTTGCAGCCATGCTAGTTCTGTTTGCTTGCCTGCCTGCATACGCGCTGTCCTGCTTGCGTGGCCCGACAGGTTGCTTGTCTGATTGTCCGCTTCCTGATGTTTGCGGACTCTTGCTTCTGCTGATAACTGTTGACTGGTGCGGTATGCTGCTTGCTGCGGTTCGGTGCTTCTGATTGCTGTTGCTTAGCGCTGGTGATGTGAATTCGCGCTGGTGCTGCTGTGTTGCTGTCGGCCGATGCCGCTAACTGCTGCAGGCTGCTGCTGCTGCTGCTGTTGCTGCTGCTGCTGCTGCTGCTGCTGAGGCCGCCTGCTGGTGCCACTGTGTTCTGCAAGTTGCTCATGCTAGCTGTTCATGTCTGCCGCTACTTGCTTTGCTGCTCCTGCTGCTGCTGCTGCTGCTGCTGCTGCTGCTGCTGCTGCTGCTGCTGCTACTGCTGGGTCGGTGGCCGTGATGGGACACTCTGGTGCCGTATTGGGGGCGTCTTGGCGCCCTCTTGAGGCCGTCCTGAGCCCCGTCTCGGGGTCTCCAGGAGGCCTCTTGCGCCGTCGTGGCGCCCTCTGGGGGCACCCTTGGGCCGTATGGGGCTCTCCGAAGCAGTCTTGGGTCTTCCAGGAGGCCTGTGGAACCGTCCTGGGGGCGCTCTTGGCCCAATCTTGCACCATCTTGCGAGCTTCATGGAGCAGCCACTGCCAAACTAAGGTGGATACGAGATACGCTCGGGGAGCCCCCAAACATTGAGCGCACACACACACACACACACACACACACACAAACACAAACACAAACACAAAAAAACATGTAGATGCTTATCAACTGGGCCAGAGGCGTGCTAAGATCTCCGGTAACTGCTAAACAGTATTTCTGGTTCGCGCGCGCGGGACGGCCCCTGGGGGTCCCTGGATCAAAAATACCCCGGGCGGAGCCCGGGACACGCCCTGGACACGCTCGGGACACTCCCCTAGATCCTCCAGGATCGCCCCAAGAGGGCCCCAAGAGGCCCCCAACACAATCCAAGAGAGGTCCGAGACGCCCGAAGATCGCTCCACGGCGCCCAAGATGGCCTCCAGACGACCCAAGAGGTCTCCTAGATGACCCAACAAGCCTCCAAGATGCCCCAAGAGGCCTCCAGGAGCACTCCCAAGAGGGCCCCAAGAGGCAACAAACAATGTTACCTAACAGCGAAGACTGATAGGTTTCTAGTGGTGTCAAAAGAGAGCAGCAGATGACTCCACAGGGGGTCTGGGCGGCAGCCGGGGAACTGTGTCCGAACTCGTGTCCGAACTCGTTTTTTGCAAACAGTCACACGCTTCGTGCTCTTCGACCTCCCAGAACTCCATTCCCGGGCCGCATTCTGAATGCCCGGAACCAACTGTAAGCCACTTCGTGCTCTTCGACTTCCCAGAATTCATTCCCGGGCCACATGTTGAATGCCCGGAACCAACTGTAGGCCACTTCGTGCTCTTCGACTTCCCAGAACTCCATTCCCAGGCCACATTTTGGATGCCCGGAGCCAACTGTAGGCCACTTCGTGCTCTTCGACCTCCCAGAACTCCATTCCCGGGCCACATTTTGAATGCCTGGAGCCAGCTGTAGGCCACTTCGTGCTCTTGGACTTCCCAGAACACTATTCCCGGGCTACATTTTGAATGCCCGGAGTCAACTGTAGGCCATTTCGTGTTCTTCGAGTTCCCAGAACTCCACTCCCGGGCCACATTTTGAATGCCCGGAGCCGACTGTAGGTCACTTCGTGGTCTTCGAGTTCCCAGAACTCCATTCCTGGGCATGATTTTGAATGCCCGGGGCCAGCTGTAGGCCACTTCGTGTTTTTCGAGTTCACAGAATTAAATTCCCGGGCCACATTTTGAATGCTGAGGCAGGCTGATGCTGAGGCTGAGGCAGGCTGAGGCTGAGGCCGAGGCTGAAGGCCGACTGAGGCTGAGGCTGAAGCAGGCTGAGGCTGAGGCTGAGGCAGGCTGAGGCTGAGGCTGAGGCAGGCTGATGCTGAGGCAGGCTGAGGCTGAGGCTGAGGCTGATGCAGGCTGAGGCTGAGGCAGGCTGAGGCTGAGGCCGAGGCTGAAGGCAGACTGAGGCTGAGGCTGAAGCAGGCTGAGGCTGAGGCAGGAGGCTGAGGCTGAGGCAGGCTGATGCTGAGGCAGGCTGAGGCTGAGGCTGAGGCTGATGCAGGCTGAGGCTGAGGCAGGCTGAGGCTGAGGCCGAGGCTGAAGGCAGACTGAGGCTGAGGCTGAAGCAGGCTGAGGCTGAGGCTGAGGCAGGCTGAGGCTGAGGCTGAGGCAGGCTGATGCTGAGGCAGGCTGAGGCTGAGGCTGAGGCTGATGCAGGCTGAGGCTGAGGCAGGCTGAGGCTGAGGCCGAGGCTGAAGGCAGACTGAGGCTGAGGCTGAAGCAGGCTGAGGCTGAGGCTGAGGCAGGCTGAGGCTGAGGCTGAGGCAGGCTGAGGCTGAGGCAGGCTGAGGCTGAGGCTGAGGCTGATGCAGGCTGAGGCTGAGGCAGGCTGAGGCTGAGGCCGAGGCTGAAGGCAGACTGAGACTGAGGCTGAAGCAGGCTGAGGCTGAGGCTGAGGCAGGCTGAGGCTGAGGCTGAGGCAGGCTGAGGCTGAGGCAGGCTGAGGCTGAGGCTGAGGCTGATGCAGGCTGAGGCTGAGGCAGGCTGAGGCTGAGGCCGAGGCTGAAGGCAGACTGAGGCTGAGGCTGAAGCAGGCTGAGGCTGAGGCTGAGGCAGGCTGAGGCTGAGGCTGAGGCAGGCTGATGCTGAGGCAGGCTGAGGCTGAGGCTGAGGCTGATGCAGGCTGAGGCTGCGGCAGGCTGAGGCTGAGGCCGAGGCTGAAGGCAGACTGAGTCTGAGGCTGAAGCAGGCTGAGGCTGAGGCTGAGGCAGGCTGAGGCTGAGGCTGAGGCTGAGGCTGAGGTAGGCTGAGGCTGAGGCTGAGGCTGAGGCAGGCTCAGGCTGAGGCAGGCTGAGGCTGAGGCCGAGGCTGCGGGCAGACTGAGGCTGAGGCTGAAGCAGGCTGAGGCTGAGGCTGAGGCAGGCTGAGGCTGAGGCTGAGGCTGAGGCAGGCTGATGCTGAGGCAGGCTGAGGCTGAGGCTGAGGCTGATGCAGGCTGAGGCTGAGGCAGGCTGAGGCTGAGGCCGAGGCGACGGCAGACTGAGGCTGAGGCTGAAGCAGGCTGAGGCTGAGGCAGGAGGCTGAGGCTGAGGCTGAGGCTGAGGCAGGCTGAGGCTGAGGCTGAGGCAGGCTGAGGCTGAGGCTGCAGGCTGATGCTGCTGAGGCTGAGGCTGCAGGCTGAGGCTGAGGCAGGCTGAGGCTGAGGCCGAGGCTGAAGGCAGACTGAGGCTGAGGCTGAAGCAGGCTGAGGCTGAGGCTGAGGCAGGCTGAGGCTGAGGCTGAGGCAGGCTGAGGCTGAGGCTGTGACTGCGACTGCCGTTGCCGCTGCGACTGTCATCGCGAATGCGACTACGACTGCGAGAACAGCAGAATTCTACAACTGGATTCTCATTTGAATCTTAAGGGGAATGCTTCCAGATATGCTCCTACACATCGCTGTTAGGTTGCTTTGCCGGGATAATTTTTACCTAACAGCTTTTGCTGATAGGTTTCTAGTGGTGTCAAAAGAGAGCAGCAAATGACTCCACAGGGGGGTCGGGGCGGGGCCGGGGAGGTGTGCTCGTGTCCGAAGTCGTTTTCGCCAACAGTCACACACTTCGTGCTCTTCGACCTCCCAGAACTCCATTCCCGGGCCACATTTTGAATGCCCGGAGCCAACTGTAGGCCACTTCGTGCTCTTCGACTTCCCAGAACTCCATTCCCAGAACTAGGCCACGGGCCACATTTTGGATGCCCGGAGCCAACTGTAGGCCACTTCGTGCTCTTCGAGTTCCCAGAATTCCATTCCCGGGCCACATTTTGGATGCCCGGAGCCAACTGTAGGCCACTTCGTGGTCTTCGAGTTCCCAGAACTCCATTCCCGGGCCACATTTTGAATGCCCGGAGCCAACTGTAGGCCACTTCGTGCTCTTCGAGTTCCCAGAACTCCATTCCTGGGCATGATTTTGAATGCCCGGAGCCAACTGTAGGCCACTTCGTGTTCTTCTAGTTCCCAGAACTCCATTCCTGGGCCACATTTTGAATGCTGAGGCAGGCTGATGCTGCGGCCGAGGCAGGCTGAGGCTGAGGCAGGCTGAGGCTGAGGCCGAGATGAAGGCTGAGGCTGAGGCTGAGGCAGGCTGAGGCTGAGGCTGAGGCAGGCTGATGCTGAGGCTGAGGCTGAGGCTGAGGCTGAGGCTGAGGCTGATGCAGGCTCTGAGGCTGAGGCTGAAGCAGGCCGAGGCTGAGGCTGAGGCAGGCTGAGGCTGAGGCAGGCTGAGGCTGAGGCTGAGGCAGGCTGAGGCTGAGGCTGTGACTGCGACTGCCGTTGCCGATGCGACTGTCATCGCGAATGCGACTACGACTTCGAGAACAGCAGAATTCTACAACTGGATTCTCATCTGAATCTTAAGGGGAATGCTTCCAGATATGCTCATACACATCGCTGTTAGGTTGCTTTGCCGGGATAATTTCTCAGGTTTTGGACAG